ACCTCCAAGGCAAGAAAACAAAAAAAAAGAGGAGAGCACCATGATCAATCTTTCTCTGTCTCTGACAAAACTTTGGTTCTATAGAATCATATGGATGTTGTTTGTGATCCCTCCTTGTGTTTTGTCAGTTGATGAGCGTCACATACACTGTGCTCCTTCGTTTAGATGCGGCAATCAGACAGATCTCCATTATCCCTTTTGGACACCTGAGAGAGAAGAGTGTGGTCACCCGGATTTCAAGGTCGACTGCAGTGGAGATTTCCCAGAGTTTAGTATGTTTTCGGTTAAGTTCCGAATCCTTGAGATGAATTATGCGTCCCGTATAATAAGACTTGCCAGAATGGATTATCTCAACAATCTTTGTCCCCAACATCCTGACAACGCAATAATCAACCAACAAGTCTTTTCACTTCTTCAAGACACCGAGCTGCAAACTTTTTATTACGACTGCCCTGTTCCAAGGATAAACTTTCTTCCCAATGGCTACATTAGCCAGCTTGACTGTGAGGATGATATTGGTGTGCAAAGTTACTTTGTCTGGTCCCCTTCACATTCTAGGAATAGAGCTATATTAGATGCATCGTGTGAAAGAACGGTCAATATTCCAGTCTCTCGATCTGCCTTGAAGAGAGCAGAGAGTAATCATAGTCTTGAGGCTCTGAAGAAGGCTCTTGATGAGGGTTTCAACCTTAGATTAAACGGTGACTGTTCACAATGCGTGAGATCAAGGGGTGCTTGTGGATATAATCAGAGCTTGAGAGATTTTGTCTGCTATTGTATAAATGAGCCACATGCGCATACTTGCCATCCTGAAAAAAAGAGTAATGATTTCTCCTGCTATGGATATTTCAGCTGATTTAAGTTAATCTCAATATAAATCCAATGATTCCATCTGGATCTTTCTGCAAATTTCTTATGATATCCAATGATTTCTTTTGCCCGTTTACTTCCATGGTTTAAGGTTGTGTAACTCTTTGCCATCTTTACCCGTTTGATGGTGCTGCAGGTAATTCCAAAAGCTTGGTCTCACATATTTTTATAGGTATTTGTTTTCTTTTTGCTGTCGCAGTTAAAATTATTGTTGATCTTCATTGAAAATTTTGTGTTTTCCGGTTTGAGTTTCTCTAGTTGCAGGTTCCTTAGGAGCAGTTATGGTTTTGGTGGTCTTAATAGTCATTTGGTATAAAAGGAAAACACCAAATGCTTTGACAAAACAGAGCCTACAGGCGCTTATTCCGCTGAAGCAGTATACTTACTCTGAAGTGAAAAGAATTACAAAGTCATTAGCTGAAGTAGTCGGAAAAGGAGGATTTGGGACTGTCTATAGAGGAAAACTTCGGGATGGTAGAATGGTAGCGGTTAAGCTCTTGAAGGAGTCAAAGGAAAACGGTGAAGACTTCATCAATGAAGTAGCAAGCATGAGCAAAACATCCCATGTTAACATTGTCTCACTGCTCGGATTCTGCTACGATGGTTCCAAAAGAGCCATTATTTATGAATATGTCGAAAACGGGTCTCTGGATCAGTTCTTCTCAAGCAAAGTCCAATCGAATAAAGACTGGAGAACACTATATGAGATTGCACTAGGCATTGCGCGTGGTCTCGAGTACTTGCATAATGGGTGCCAAACAAGAATTGTGCACTTTGACATTAAACCTCAAAATGTTCTCTTGGATGGCAATCTTTGTCCGAAAGTTTCTGACTTTGGACTTGCAAAGCTCTGCGGGAAAAGAGAAAGCATCTTGTCATTGCTAGATACAAGAGGAACTATAGGTTACATTGCCCCTGAAGTATTTTCAAGAATCTATGGAAATGTATCACACAAATCGGATGTATACAGCTATGGAATGTTGATAATCGAGATGATCGGAGCAAGAAACACAGAAGCATCTCAAAACTCGGAATCTACCACAAGTTCAATGTACTTTCCTGAATGGATATATAAGGATCTTGAAAATGGAAACTACAGAAAGCGTCTCGGGGAGGAAATAACTGTAGAAGAAGAAAATATTGTGAAGAAGATGACACTGGTGGGTCTATGGTGCATACAGTCTTCCCCATCAAATCGGCCACCGATGAACAGAGTCATCGAGATGCTTGAAGGGAGTGTGCAAGATCTGCAAGTTCCTCCTAATCCTGTTTTACATCTTTCCGCAACGCAATTTACAGAGTCTTCTTGGCTTTCAGAAGAGAATTCAGGCTACTCAGAAGTGTGATCTACGAATGTTAATGTGTTCTATACAATGGGAAGGCATGTCCACTAAATTAT